TTGTATCAAAGGATGGGAAGGGGTGGTGGTGGTGAATGAGGCTGTTTTGGATAGCATGGGACCTGAGCATGATGTAAATGGTACAGAATAAAGGGTTGGGCTGGGGTAGAGTTAATTCTCTTCGCAGTAGGTGGTATGGGGCTGTGCTTCGGATTTGCACTGAAAATGGTGCTGGTAATACAGAAATGGTTTTGTTATTGCCAAGCAGCACTTGCACAGCATCAAGGCCTTTTCTGCTTCTCATACACAAAAGGTTTATGTCTTAATGTTAACTTGCTCATGGCCACAGGAAAATCTAACCTTCAGCATCACCTCACACTTGTGGGCACCATTTCAGCCATGAATCCAACAACCAGTACTGTACTCAGCTCAAGGTATTCACCACTAATGTTTTTAAATACAACTGTCATCCTTCCAAGAGGCATGTTCTGAACTTCAAATTTCACTTCAAAATCTAAGTAAAAATACTAAGAATCAGACTTCAAAGGCATGTGCAGCTTAATTCATTGTCTATGCTTAAAAAATGCACAGAGGTTCGATTTTAGAGACCCCACAGACCTCAGTAACGTGTGTTTGACGCCAACGCCTGATGAGTTGGAATGAGTTATACAGAGCCCTGCCTTGGCACAGTCAAGCACCAGATGAGGTAACAGCATTTCACATTTAAATGAGACTGAAATCCTACTGACTGGGTGATGTAAACTGATTTTGAAGCTTTTTAGTCAGTAACAAAAACCATATTCTGTACTCAGCTGTATGAATCATTTTCTGCATACTACTGTCCCAAGGAATTTCTTAGCACTAAGTCACCCCCTAGAAGACTTCCAGAACGCAGGAGTTCTCTTGGTTTTAGATACATAAACCCTACCACATCCCCCAGCTGGTGCTGCAGAATGGCAAGGTCTGCCTGCAGACCAGAGCACAGAGGGGACACGATGCTCTGTCCAACAGCCTCTGTAAGACAACTCCTCCAGAGCACCAGGTGTGCTTTGCTCCGGGTTACAGCAGACAAGGTGCTACACCCCACGGTCTGACAGACACCCCTGAGCCCAGCAGCCACCTCAGCTCCTCTCTCTCTTCTGCTGGTACTGCTTTAGATCAAACTATCAACAGCCTTTCCATAAGCAACAATAAGGGACTTCAAAGTGTTCTCACTTGCAGCTTGTGAGCAAGCTGCAAACTAAAGCCATGTGTCCATTTCTTCTTTCACCTCACTGTTTACACAGTTATGAGCTCTGCAGCCACTGAACCTGCCACTCTTCATGTCTAACCACTAGCTGAGCTATTCAGTCCATCCAGAGAAAACTTTCCTACTCTGGAAACAGTTAAGGCATATTTAATTAGCCTCTGTCCCATTAAGAGATTTTACAATGACAGCATCCGATGCCATCCTCTATTCAGCCTGGAACAGTATCTATGTGAGTGTTGGAGATTTTCATCACTTTTCCTTTCTAAAACCATGTGAGAGTGTGTAACAGTACGAACACACATTTTATGAGTTCATCTATACTGTGAAGTTTTAATGCTTCACATGTAAATGCAATGGAAGCACAAATACTACTGCTTCAAATTAAATTTACCAATAATGGCTGTTTCAGGCAGAGCCATCCAAAGCCCCTAAGGCACTTTTCCTGTGCAGACAACCCAGGCCCAGAGCATCTGCCCAGACTCACATGAATATGCCAAGCAGCCACTATTGCCCTTCCTAAACCACATCAGTTGAAAAGACAAACCCATGAGACTTGTGCTCTTAGCAACACCTATGTGAGCACTGTGCAGGAAAACACTCCATGTCAGTAACAACCAGTATGTCCCCAGCACTTACTGGTCTGAGTGTCACCAGCACTCCTTCCTGCCACGGCATGTCGGTGAAAAATAAACAAGTCTGTTCACTGCAGCAATTCAGCAACCTCTTGCTCTCTACTGCAATAGCACGTGGCTAGCTCTGCTGACTCCAGCTGGTCCCAAGAGATGGCTGCTCATAGGAGAATAATCCATATTTGTTAGGAAAAATACAGAAATGACTCAGGAAGATTTTCTGTTTACACTCAAGTCTCCTAACTTGAGCCCCTGAGGTTCACAAACTGCCTCTGAAGGAGCTGCAAAATATAACTGGAGTCCACTGCCAGCAGGCTCATGGTCCTCGTGCTCCACAGCATGTCAAACCCACGTTTGTGATCAGCAAACAAGGAGATTCTGAGGAAATCACAGGAGCTTATTGTTACCGTGGCAGAGATTTTTCTTTCCCAAACCAGAGATCACAAAACCCAGTCCCAAACCACATTATTGTTACCCAGCTACTGGAGTCTGACAGCAGATCCCCCTGCACCCATCCTGCCCACTGCTGTGGAGCTCCAGTGGTTCCTTTCCTGCTGCTGACAGCCACAGCATTGTGCCCCTCTGTACCCCTCTCTGTGAGGGACTCCCCACAGCCAGCAGCACTAGCCACTGATGCCTTCACCTTCCTCCATGAGGCTTTGCTGGATGCTTATAGCTGAAAGCCTCTCAGTTTCAGTCATCCAGCGAAGCAAAGCTGCCTAATGTGACCTCAACAAAATCCAGTAACTGGGGTGTAAATGCACAACCTGCTAAACCTGCCAAAGACTTTGGAATTTGGACAGATTACAGGTTTAAAACTTGCATCAATCCTGATGAATTTGATACTCTGTTCTCACAAACACTTGTTTTTACCACAGTGCTCACCAGCAGTGACGCAAGGCTATTTTAAAGGCAGCCACTTACATTCCTCCACCTGAATGTAATGTTTTTCTATATCCCACACTTGCAGCATTTGCTTGAGGCGTCATACATAAACCTCAGATTTGTGAGGCCTCAAACTTAATCATTAATTATGTGATTTTGTTTTTTTGAATCAGCTTCTTCATCTTAAGAATTATTTTGAGAAACGAAAATAGAGGAACAACTGAAGGCCAGACCACAAAGTGAGCTCCTGCTCTACAGACCAAATGAGTACTCTGAGTCCTCAAGTTTGTTTCAATAAAGTTACAAAGTCCTCCAAACCTAAATAGCTACTCTGTCCCATGAATACAGGAAAGCAGCATCATCCAGAGCTTAATGCAAGACGTACGTTTGTCCAGGTTTCTGCTGGAAAAGGAAGATGTGCCTTGAACCTGAGCTCAGTGCCAGCACCCAGCAGTACAAAACCATTAAAAAAAGAGCAGGACACATTAGCATTACTTTTAACCTTCAGCACTGTGCAGGATACAAACTGTTGCCAAGCAAACTTTAAAGGATTCGGTTAAGCTGTGCAAGGTGAGAAGCCTCTCACACCAAATACAGCCAGTACAGTGACGAAATGGTTATCAACACTTCAACAGCCAAACAAAACTCATATTCTACACAGCTCGTTAAGCAAAGTTTGTGATAAGCCAGAGCACCACGAGGCATGAAGTCACATAGTCACTACAATTTCAACTTAATGCTGACAAAAGCAAAAAAAAACAAACCTCCTTCAAAATCATTAAAGTGCAGGAAACAGACAGTTTGCAGCTACTGACCAATCAGTAATGCACCTCTGGCAAGTCCTATCTGTGCCAGGTAAGACTGCTGCATTTCACTGCCGTTTCCTGCCACGAGTTCAATGCTGACTTCAGAGATTTACCTCCTCCATGTCACAGTTCACCTGTGCTCACCATCCAGCTTCACTTCACCAGAATGACAGTAAGCCAGAGAGCTTCCTTTCCTGGTTTTAAGATACAAATACCTTCACTTTGCCAAAATTGAGTTTAAATATACTATTTTCACAAGCTGTTTTCTGATACAGGACTCAATGCCAGAAAGTTTCCTTTTCTGGAAAAGGAAGCTGTAAATATTTTGGTGAAGGTCAGCAAGCAGCTGACTAGCATTAAACTCTGAGCTGACACACCATGTATGACACATGCAGAATGGAAGGAGAAGAAAAAAACATCATGTCACATTTAAGAGCTATTTAGTTCTGTGTTTTCAGAACAAACACTTCACTTCCACGACTGCTTTCACCTCTTCACGCTGCAGAAGCCCAACATGAAGTTCTGAACACAAGCAGCAGTTCTGTGCAAACAAAAAAGACGAGAGACTTGCAGAGCGAAGCAGTTCATGCATACTCGGCACGTATGCATTCCATACTCGAGCATCCATACCTATCCCAGGAGGCCTTTGACTCGTGTAACTTGCTGAAATGGAAGGCTTGGTAGAATGCAGTTGACGGATTCCTATGAGATCCAAGAATCAGACAGACATGTTGAGAATGCGTAGGTAACAAACACACTAACCTCTTAATCCAACCTGCATTACAGAGCGTGTTAGCTGTCCGGACAGGTTACACTGGTGTCTGAAAGGACCTACTGTTTCTGGAGGTTTGTATTAAGGACACACGGATCCAACACAAAACAGCAATTCTCCAGCCCTATGGATTTTCAGGCTATTTCAAGCTGCTTCTGTAAAAAGGTGACTGTAAGGCCATGACTGAGACATCTCCTGTCCTGCTGGCAATCCTGTGTAGGGCAGCTGTACACCACCCTAATGCCAAACATACCCAAACCCAAGAGACACCTTTCACACTTTTGGCATGTCCCAAACTGTCTCTGCACACAGTACCCAGTGTTCCCATCCGGCTTAACCCCCTGCTTCACACTCGAAACAGATGAGTCCTCCAAGGGGACCTGAAGCTGGAGCTCAATATGCCACATTCAAGCTACGGCAGGTCAAGTTGCAACTGAAAACCTGATCAAGTCAGAAATGAAAAGTGGAATGTAAACTACTGCTCACTCTGTAAGCAGCTGTCAGTCACGCCCTTCCCACCCCCCTTCCCGAGCTGCAACAGGGCAACGGCTGCTGGAGGCCCTTGGCCAAGCACTCATTCACTGGAGAGCCCTCAGGACCACAAGCTTGGGCACAGGCTCCAGTAGCCTTGCTGAAAACCAGACAGACCCCAGTGCCAGGCCCTGGGGCAGCCTGACCCTCCTGGCTCAGCCCACATCTGCCCCATGGATGGCAACTACACCCTGAGGGTAATTTGGAAATCTCAGTTCTCCAAACTCTTGTTGTGCACAAGACACTGGATGAACCAGAGAGCTGAAATTCTCTGCTGCCAGTGCCTGCAGCAGTGTGTTATACTCAAGCTTAGAGACTGCTTTCATCAACCCGCTCATCCTCACGAGGGCACAGCCATGCCAGCCCTAGAGAAGAATGCAACAGCCTCGCTGAAAAGTCTTCAGAAAAGCAAGTATGAGTTCAAATTCCTGCTAGAGCCAGTTTTAAATCCAGTAGTTTATATCAATGTTGGAAGCACAGGTACCTATCCCTTTGCTAAGTTTATGGCAAGAATACTTCTTAAAACAACTGTTGCTAAGTTACTCAGTCACTTCAATTTAAGTACAACCACAGTACAGTTAAAAACACAGAACAAAAGAAAAATATCACAGAAGCAGCACCATAACAAAACACCATCAGAAGTAATTTGATTCCCATGGCAGGTGGACACCAAGAGATTTGTGCATCAGCAATGATCAGGAAACTCTTGTTTCAAGTGTCTGCCACTCCTTTTCCCACCTTCAAAAAAATAAACTCATGAGACTCTGGAATTTAGCTTAGAACCTGTTACCTGATCCAAGCTGACACACACCACGCTCTCACACTGATACTACTCACACTTTCTTAAGAAGCACTGCATGCTTGAGTGACAACTAAATACAACTAAGTGTAGGAAGAGCAGCACAATAGCTAAAGGACATTTGCATGGTAGGAGGACTTAACATATGGAAAGCAATTTGCATCTGCAGACCAAGAGAGCATTCCTCTGCCGAAGGGAAGGCCCAGGCCCAGGCTCTTCTTTCTAATTCAGCTGTCTGTCAGGAGTATGTAAAGTCTCTTCCTCAGAAAGTGACTGTAAACAGAAAGTCATTTAACCTCCAAGACAAATTTACTTGCAGCATATAAAGCCCTGTTGCTATTGTTAGGCATAAAAAGTGGTTTATGGCCACACAGCATGCATTCCATATGGTGTATTTTTACACTGATACCCTATATGCTCTGTATTTTTGTGCTACTCTTCAGCAAGGATCTGAAAAGGTATGGAAAAGTTTTCGTTGTTAGATTCTCATTACTTCAGACAATTAAGAGAACCTCTTCTACTCCATAGCTATATTTTAACAATATATTAATGGGTGTGGGGTGTGTGTACCTAAACAGGAAAACCACACCCACAGAGGTGGCAGGAATGATGCCTCACGTGCAGGTCTGAACAATAAGTTTCAGACTGTGGAAGCATCTGCTTTTAGCCACATCAAACAGTAAAAGGTTGGAGAATGCCTAAAAACACCTTTCAGTTTACAGACACAACTGAGCACACAGCTGACAGGAGCAGTATAAACTGGCCTGCTGCTGCTGTGCCACAACTCCTCTGACACTGCCACAACTGATGGCAAGGACAGCCCAGACCAGACAAGCAGATTCCTCAGGTCTCCTCCCTGGCAGATGGTCAGGTCTGAGGTCCAGGCTCAGTCCCAGTCCTTGGCAGACTAACACAGTGGAGTCAACAGCCACCCAGGACAGGGATGTCCCTGATGCTGAACCAGGGAACAAGTGCCCACCTCCCCTTCCACAGGAGGTTCCCCAGCACTTCTCTTCCTCCACATCTGGTGAGAGAGACAGATACCCCCAGGGACAAAGGGGCTCCATCCCAGTCCCAGAGACCAGGAGACAACTAGCTTAGCACATCCAACACTCAGCTGTATCTTGATGGGCCAAAACCACCTCCGTGTCTCTACAACCAAGTCCTACAACACACACTGCATTTATTTCCTTTGAAAGTTCACCAACTCCAACATTCACAACACATTCCCATGTTATGGTCTCTAACAACAGCTTGCATGCAACAGAAATCTAATCTAAATTTAAAGTGTGAGAACTTTCAGTTCCCTGAATGCCCAAAACATCAAGTTGTCCCTTTAAAAGGGAAGTCTAAACCACATCCCAAGTCTCACCTCATGTTTGGAAGTGTATTCTCCCACTGCCACTCATCAGGACAATAAGCCAAACAGACCTCGTCCTCAGGAACTCTGTTCACTAGAAACCATGCCCATAAAAGCTGGGCATTAGCCTGGCATGCAGAGGCTGCTGCACAGATGCATTTTTCTTAGCTACTGCCTTTGAAAGGGGAAGAGTAACACTGTTGTTCACAAACAAGTTCCAATATTCAAACTACTGACCAGCCTCAGCAACTGAGGGTGACAAGAAGAGGAACACATGAGAAATATCACTTATTTACCCCAAGGTGGGAAGAAAAAACATTCACTCTAGACAACCTCAGACAGTTATCTCTCATATCACTGACTTATTTTCGTTAGGTCTGAGAGCAGGGATGATCCAGAAGATTCAAAAGGCAAAAGCACCTGTCTTTGAAGAACATGAAAACAACAGGTCAGGCAATTTGTGCTCAACAGCTCTGGGGAAAAAATCAAAGCAAAGCAGAAGCACCTATTTATTGTTACCCAGACAGCAGCAAGCACACATGGATGGCCTTTCAGAAGCTTACATCAGCCAAAACTCCTTCTGAGCACAATTAACAGCCTCATATGGACAAACATAGAAGATACGATCACGTTATGAAATGCCAACTTGCATGACATTTGTGCAGGTAAGAGCACAGCTCATACAGAGCAGGATCACCACTGGTAACTACTCTGTGCATGTGGGTCTCCAGGGGTTCAGTGGAAGGATCAGAGCCCTCCCAGGGTCTCCTCTAAGTGTGTTAGGGGATATTAATCCATGACTTGGGCAGTGGAACACAGACTACCTC